TTACTGCTACTACTACTACTACTACTACTACTACTGCTACTACTGATACTGCTACTACTACTACTACTACTACTACTCCTGCTGCTGCTGCTGCTACTACTACTACTACTACTACTACTTCTGCTACTACTACTGCTGTTACTACTGCTACCGCGTTGTGAAATGATCGGAATCTGAAGGCACAGGCAATTCCATGGCGTGCCTTGTGACTCACGCCAACCGCTTGCAGGAAGAGGAAGAGGAGGAGGAGGAGGACGAAGAAGAGGATGAAGAGGAAGACAACAATGTGAAGAGTTTAGCCACCGCCTGCGGCTGAGTAGCGGGATTTGTGAGCTTCGCGCGGCAGTGAGTTTTTCCTTGACCTTTGGTGGGGTCGGCTGCCATGCTTATGTGGGTTGATAGGACTTTCCGAGGTGTCGTTGTTCAGGGTTGAGGGTTGTTTGTTCAAACTCTTCTGTTGTCGTTGCAAGCTGCCACTCTGCATCAGATGACGATTTAGAATCTGCACTTGTTGCCTGCATGGCTGTACTTGCCATATATCGAGTGTTCGTTTACACTTGCTTGCTGAACTTGATTTGCCCGCCACCAGACACATGTATCCTGGATGGAGGCACCGCAGGCAGGCGGGGAAGGTGGCCTGACGCCAGAGTCTGCAGAAGCAGCAAGGGCGCAGAATTGGCAATCTGGCTGCACAAGGCAGTTTTTTTTACTCACAGTGTCCCAAGTCTGTGGAGTCCAGTTGCTCCTCGCATAAGTTCGCCTGGCAAACGCATGCATGCTGAAACGCATGGCAGTTCTGTTGGCTGCTAACCTGTGCCCCGTGCCGAAGCACCGAGCAAACACAGTAATTACATAGGCTCGACTCGAAAGTACAGCAACCTCTGCAATAGCTTGACGGTTGAGTCCGAAACTACTGTACAAGAAAACTATCCTACTTTTGAGTCCGCCACCCAGTATTGCGTAAGCAAGGACATGCGACCAGCAGAATACCCATCCGTAGCTGTGTGCCCCGACAACAGAGTGCCCACACTCGGCACCCATGCGAAGGGCCGTAACTCCAAACCGATGTCTGCACTCGTCGAAATCCCACGACAGCTCTCAGCCACATGGCTTGACGGTCTGCAGAAAATGAGACATGTCTGTAGCCTTAGCCTTCTTGGCCTCCTTGTTATCGTCTATGATATGGACAAAGCAGTTCTTTGACATGTCATATATTTGCTGGATTTGGCAACGGTAGTTCGTCCAGCATGGCATGCAAGCACGTCTATTCTGGATAAGAGCAGAAATCAAAGTAATAGTGCCATCATGACAGGTGCTAGTAGTCGTAGTAGTAGTAGTAGAAGTAGTAGTAGTAGTAGTAGTAGTAGTAGTAGTAGTGGTAGTAGTGGTGGTAGTAGTAGTAGGAGGAGGATAGTAGTAGTAGTAGTAGTAGTAGTAGTAGTAGTAGTACTACTACTACTACTACTACTGCTGCTACTACTCCTGCTGCTGCTGCTGCTGCTACACCACCACTACTACTGATGTTGACTATTGCTACTGCTACTACTACTACTACTACTACTACTACTACCACTACCACTACCACTACCACTACAAGTACTAGTACTAGTACTAGTTCTAGTTCTAGTAC